ACCTGCCCGATAGTTATCGACCCGGCCTGCCTGACTACGTTGTGCTCTATATGTGTATGTACCTGTGTATCTATATCAGTTTAGGTTTGGGTTTGTTTCACCTTGTTGTATGTATTTGTGTTAGCTTGGGGTTTGGTGCACTGCGTTTATATTTGTATTGTTAGTCTCAATAAATTATATTATTTACTATATCTGAAGCCTACGTTTCCCTGTGTCAGTCCACACACTTCTGGTCACACCCGCATCCCTGACACATTGTCATCAGGTTCAGCAATTTATTTTTGTACATCAGCCATACAGGTATTGGGTACCTGTGCATGCAAGGTGATTACTCCTTCTCCGTCTTCTTCCCTCAAAGAACTTTGCATCTCCGATTCACTTCCTTCACTTTATCCCTCTCTAAGATGCCCACATGTCACACTTACACACATTTTCCACAATACTTTGGTATGTCCAGAGGGTTTTGTTGGTGAATCCGGGGTGTAATCAGAAGGTACATAGTATAAGTCCAAAAATGTGCAACTATATGAGTTGATCCTGGATCATCAGGGACTCTTTTTTCAGTCCTTTAGCCTACTACTGAAATGTGGTCTGTAGGCAGTTCACTACATCTTTGGAAGTGTCTACAAGTCCTTGCTGCAATAACCTCAGTTTCTTGCTGTAGACCTATGGAGTCAATATGTAGATAATTATGGCATCCTTTAGGGTCTCATAATCAGCATACTTAATTGTAATTACAGTAACTCCTGCACAAATATTCTGCATAGAAAAATATCAACAAACTGTCAACCAGATGTGACGCTAATGCCCAAAATAGAAATATCCCTGCACAATGCGAACTAGAATGTGACCATTTCACTCTTAGCCTTACTCTGCTTTTCAAGCTTGTGGGACGGCAATCTAAACAGGAGCAGATTGAGAATGATCATAACTGGGGCAGGTTCACCGAATAGGTAACACACACAGTAACCACCGTGACCAACACCACATGTCCTAATAGAAAAATGCACCATTTTCAGCAACTGTAGTTGCAATTCTGACTGTTAAAAATGTCTATATTGCTTGTTACCATGAGTACTTTCTGTCACATGTGCCTTAGGCTAGACTGTGATTTGTCAAATGTGTTACCTTCCTTGAATGTCTAGTGCAGACATGAGATTTATATGTGGCTGTTTTTGTTACAAGCTTGTGAATTCTGGAAAAAATTAGGGTGGCAAGGTGTCCCATACTACTCCCCCTTTCTCTCCATACAGTTTGGGGTTCATCAGGCCTTACTATCATTACATAAATCTAATAGTAGTTTACCTACTCTAAAAAAAAACATAAATATGGTCTTGTTTTTGTACAATAAAAAAAATTACCTCTAAATACAATTCTCAGGTTTACAAACAATTGATTTAAAATTACTATTACAGAACTAAGTTGTAAAACAAGGTAAATAAAGTAAAGTAATCAAAGGCAAACAAGGTAAAACAAGGGTAAAACATGTACAAAAAGTAGACCCATTCCCTCTCTACTCTTAATGCTACAAATCATCCCTTTTCTTAGTCAAAATGATTACAACCATAGCCATTCAATCCTTTGGGTTGACCAAACAATATTGTATGGAAAACATTTTTAAAATCTTATTTTACCTTGTTTTAAAACAGGCTTCAAGTGTAAGAGATGTAGCTTAGGCAATGGTGGTGTTGCTGAATGAGTGAACAACTTGGCAATCGCACTATAGCCAAAAAAATGGATACAGCGTGGTCATCTAGTTCTGGGAGGGCAAATATTGATGTCCTCCCAGAACTCCACCCCCTGCATATCCCTGGGGTGCATATCGAGCACGCTCTGTGATCGTTGTGTCCTATGGACACAGCTGATCACATATCAAGGTAAAGGGCCAATCACTGTGGCATTTTACCATGTGATCAGCTGTGTCCAATCACAGACTTGTCGGTTATCAGCAGTTCTTTACTTACACGCTGTGTCTGTGTAAGGAAGAGAAAACTGGCAAAACTGGCAGTACACAGTTTACACTGATCACCAGTGCCCTAATTATCAGTGCAGCCCCATCAGTGCCCATTAGTGCCCATTAGTGCCCATTAGTGCAGTATATCAGTGCCCATCAGTGCTGCCAATCAGTGTCCATCAGTTCTGCCTATCAGTGCCCATCAGTGCCCATCAGTGCAGCCTATCAGTGTCCATCAGTGCAGTCTATCATTGTCCATCAGTGCAGCCTATCAGTGCCTATTAGATCTAGATCCTCTTCAGCCAGGGACAGTCTTATTTTTTCATGCTCTGCAGACCCTCTTCATTAAAGGAAAATGTATATTTAGTACCTTCTTTTGTAATGAAACATTTGGTGGGGTACCCCAAACTGTATGTACTGTTGTTCCCCAGTATATTGGTAAAAGGAAGTACCATTTTAAGTGCTGTTATGGTGGCTTTTGAAATGTCTGCAAAAAAAAGGGGTTTCTTTGATTTGCACAAGTTGTACATAATCCCTCACATGATAAAAGTACATTTTAGCGAGTACATCCCTAGGGAAGAGTTCCAGGAGATGTGATGGCTTAGGTAATCCATGAGCTCTGTCTACCAATATCCCCTGAGGAAAGGTGAAAGGTAGCAAGGTACCATTTGTTGCTTTCTGAGCTCTGCAGAAAGGACAGACTCAGCTATGTCCCTGCTTTTAATATTGTTTCTGTGTGATCTGTCTTCAAGGTCTTCTAATTATAGTTCTGCTTTTTAAAACTCATTATTCATTTTGTTATGAGCATTGACAAGTTCATTGTGAGCTTTGAAAACATTTTATTCTCAACATGGTTAATCCTCTCACCAATTTCATTTTGGTCTATTTTAAATTGTTAAAAAAAATGATAACATATTATTATGTAAAGAGCCTGAGCATATCTTTTAGAGTTGTGTCTAGTATAGGTTAAGCAAAAGTAGGGTAATCATCTACTGTATATGCTCTATAAATTATCTGGTATCATCTAGAAAGTTAATAAAGAATATCTAAACCCAACATCTCATATTCCTGATATGTACCTGTTGTGCATTGTACTTGTATGAAAAAGTATCCTAGTGTCTGTATGTTGCTTCTTTTGTGTGAAATCCCTGGTTTTCCTGACAGTCCCTCTCTTCTCTATTAAAAACTGACCACACTAAGCAGGAGAACACACTGTGGTCAGTTCTCTAGCTATGCTGGGAACTCAGACTGCTCTCCTCCAAAGACTTGTCCTGACCCCCCCCCCCCCCTTTGCACTCACTAGAAAGTTCAGTGTAGTGCTGTTTCTCCTTCCCCACCTCTGTGTGCAACTGACAACAGAGGGAATGTGAACACTTATAAAAAAGGTATTTATAATATTTTTTATACCTATACACACGTGTTTTACCTTTCATTTTTATTTTAAATGGAATGGGTTGTTTTACAAGGTGAGGTTTTACATATACTTTAATAGTTCCCATATAATTTACCTGCAGCACCTCTGGGGATGCCTTTGGCTGTGATTTCTCAGGGCTGTTGGCAGCTAAAGGGTAAAGGTAGCTGTTTTTACCACAATGGTTCTTTGAGTTTTTTTTTTCATAAGGGGAGCTATGTCTGCAGAATGATTCAATTGAGGTGGTTGCAGCACGACATAATCTGGAACCGTTATGGTCACATGGTGTGCCTGTTGTACTGAAAAACAATTGGTCAATTTTCATGATCCTTCACGTGCCTTGTGTTTCTTCATCTGCTTCAATCTTCACAAGGGCACTGGGAGTGTGATGAGAGGTGTATCACTATGATATTTACTAAATAGCTAATAAGCATGATTAAAATAGAGTTCTTGTTTTAGTAGATTTTTTATGAAATATAAGTTTCGGAAAAAACATTGGCTCTAATAGGGCAGCTAAAATGAGTTAGAATGTCTAAACAGCACCAAAAAAATACTAGATATAGTATATAGTATAGTATAGGTCGCCAGCCTGTAGATGTGGAGACTGCATTAGTTTTATTTTTTCCAGCTTTTTTCCCTTTATTTTAATCCTGTTATTTTGCCAATAACACATATCCAGTTCTAGCATGACAACACTCATGCACTCTTCTGCATTAGATCAACAGAAATAAGATTGGACAATAGGACCCCATGTTCCCCATAATACAAGGTATAGCTCTGTTATCCTCAGAACTAGCCGAGAACATTGTAATTGATAACAGCGCAAGCAGAAAGGACAGGAAGTTATAAGCTCACAGTATTTTAAAACATATTAAACAGATTTAACAAAATGCTTTCAATGGACTTTACCATTTTGGCAAACCAAAAGGGACCAAATAAAAGAAGTTCATTGTGTAAAAAAATGTGTTGCTCTGTTCCTTTAAATTAATTCATAGGGACACACAATTACTCTATAAATATAAATATAAAGTTCTTCCTCAGTGTCCAAACAATAAATGTCTTCAATTCACAACCGTGAGTAAACTTTCTCTCCCTTCTAGCTCATTGGATGTTCAATTTTCTAAAATTTCCAAACAGTATTTTCCTCTTCATCTTTAATCCTCAAAAAAATGGACAAACATTGTGTAGTAAAATCACAACCAGCAGATTTATTCAATAAAAAAGCGCTTACAAGCATTTGGTGTGTTGTCTCTATGGAACAGACCTCATCCAAGATGGCCACCACACAACTTCCAGTTTACGTCTGACTTCACTTTCTGATGTGTTTCATAATTACAACTTCATCAAAGGTTCCTGGTTGTGATTTTACTACACAATGTTTGTCCATTTTGTTTTGAGCCATATATAGATATTGTGGAGGGAGTTACAAGAAAGATGTTGGTGGTAGAGAAGAAATCTATTTTCCAAGGCATCTTGTTTACATAGTTTTTTAAGGTGCATGGATTGAGAGGTGATGGATCACTTGATTGTTTTCCATACCAGTGGTCACTTATTGGGAAGATAAGGAGCACAGAGTGGCACTATATGTAATTTATTGGTTAACATTATTACACTATATCGGGGCGGACTGACAACTCATGGGGCCCCCGGGCAATAGGGGATCATGGGGCCCCTGTGTCCTTGGCCACACTCAAACCACACCCAAAAAAGCCTATGAAAGGTACCAGGGGCATCTCATGGGGCCCCCTACTGACCCTGGGCCTTCGGGCAGTGCCCGAGTTTCCAAATGGTCAGTCCGCCCCTGCACTATATACATCATTTTTTGGAGGGTACGACTATTGAAGAAGAGGAGTATTAGAGGAAGAGTTCACATATTGAAAAGATTTGTAAACAAGGTGAAACAGCCATACCCAGAGGGTAAGGGTATGAATTACAGATATCACAGGTTGACACTTGGTGGAATTTATATTTTTGAGCACTTTGTGTGAGTGTTATGTATTATAGTTGATTTCATGTGAAAAAGGTAATACACTATGTTTGGTTTTTTTTACACATTTTTTTGAGGGTTAAAGATGAAGATGAAGGTACTGTTTGGAAGTTTTTGAAAATTGAACATCCAATGAGCTAACAGGGATAGAAAGATTACTCACGGTTGCGAATTGAGGACATTTATTGTTTGGACGCTGAGGAAGAACTTTATATATTATATTTTGAACTTCCTAGGGAGGAAACAATAACTTGGCGACTGGGGCTTGAACATGTTTGAAGATATATATTTCGCTGATCATGTGATTGAGTAGTATTTAGGGTGAATTGGTTTTCTATTTATACAGTACTCTATAAATATATTCAAACCATACTAGTGCAAGGTCCATTGTGATAAAAGAAAACAAAATTCTTCACATAATCATAAACCAGTGATTGAAGTATATTAAATCCAAAAGCAGTAGTGGATGTCAGGAAGTGCATTATTCCCACAAATCACAACCCTGGCAATTTCAATCAGCCTCCTCTGTGTAGGAACTTCTGGTTGCATGGAACACAATCAATTCATGTCAATCATTACTCTCAGTTAAAGTGATTGTTAACCTTTATTTTTTATAATAACAAAATGTTATAGATACCTTCTCTATGGTAACAATGGTTTTGCACAGAGTAGCCCCAATTCTCTTTTTCTGGGGTCCTCCGACAGAGCTCTTGGGCCCCTACCCCCTGACAAGTACCCCCTATTCTGTTATAAAAACCCTGTCTGTCAGTGTTTTTTGTAATTCTTCAGTGTACTACCACTTTAAGGCTATAGAACCACTTTAAATGGCACCAATTAAAGACTAAAACGAATATTCTCCCCCTTCCTTTAGATTGTAAGCTCCACGAGCAGGGCCCTCTTATTCCTTCTGTACTGAAATGTATTGTAATTGTACTGTCTCCCTTATATTGTAATGCGCTGCGAAAACTGTTGGCGCTATATAAATCCTGTATAATAATAATAATTATATTATAACTATAATCAATAATAAAAACAATCATAAAGAATGGTGCCACCCAGCGATAAAAACACATATTGCAGCAAGAATTAATTGTATAATTCACTATAAATTTTAAAATTGTATGACTCATAATCAATAATGACAACAATAAAAACAATACAAAAACATTCAGAGAAAGTTGAAAAAAATTGGCACAAACATACAGCATATATATAATATATATATATATATATATATATATACCGATATATAAAAACCTATGTCCTATGTCTAAACCAGTAGGTTTTAGGTTTCTCCTAGATCCAACGAATATCAATACGAATATCATGTTATTTCTCTAATGCAATTGCTACTAGTCCAGTGGGGTACAAATTTGTCACTCCTGACTAGTTTGAGGCACATTGGATCCTTCCTATGGAAATAGGTAAATATATTTATTTTATTCTGGACAACATTTTGGATATGTGTTCAAGCCAGACAGAATGCCTCATGTGTGGGAACTCAAAAGGGAGAATTTTTTTCACAGTTTTTCCAGAAAACAAAACACTAAATCCCATGCTGGGGAATTGGTGAATCTAGGCAAATGTTTTTTTTATGTGAAATAGATTTGAGGAGTGGATAGGGCAAATTCTCTTAAGAGGTTTGCTTTTCCCTGCTAAATATTAGTTATTACAAGGCTCCAAGGAATATCTATACATTGAATTGCATAATATTGTAATTTTTATAATATTATTGCCAGTTTTACTACAATAGAATATAGTTTTTTATAGTTGAGTCAAGTGCATGAACCAGGTAAAAATAATTTATTTAAGTCATCAATTTTTGCATTACATATTGTGAATTCTGAAAAGAAAATGTCACATGTATTAATATTCATATCCTTTCTTGGATACATCAAACACAGCACTCCATTTTCAAAGGGAAATTTACCTTAGAATTCCCCAAAGAGTAATGTTGTGGACAAAAGGGAAACCCGTGTCAAATGCTTTAGGCTATAATTCTGTGAGTCCTGGAATAATGAGATTAAGTTGAACAAGTATAGCCTTTAAGAATATAGGATTTAGGACACGTCTTTTAAAACATAAAGAAATGATAGGTGCTTTTGTGAAACAGAAAGGGGTTCTTTCCTAATGACAAGCATGCACACATCTCAGCATGGCAGGTCAAGTTGCAATTTTGCTGCTCTTCCTATGGGAATAACAAAAGGTTTGATTTTTTTTTTCTTTATATTATATTGTCATGCTGTTCAAATAACAGTTTCAAGAAAGTCTATATCAAATGTTATAAAAAAAGAAAATGGTAATTTCCTCTACCTTAACCCTTACTAGTATATTTTAGAAAGAAAGACTTAGATATCACAGTGGTTAGTTCAGCCTAAGATAACAAATACACTTTTAGCCTAGAGCTTTAAAGTTCAGTGAAAACGATGTGCATATCAGTGTTTCAAGAGTTTTTATATAATTCAAGCAGTGCCAAACTACAGAGGCTGCAAAATCTGAAACACTTCAAGATCCTAAAGGTTTAAAGCCTAAAGCCAAAAATACAACATTTTATTGCTTGCCACAACAGAAAGTTCCAAACGTTGTAGGCCTTCCCAGCTCATTGTTCTACATCCAGTTGCTTCCTTGTACTTATCAACTATGTGGTAATGCTTTCAGATCCCTGGCATGATGATGCCATAGAAAGGTAATTATGTTACTGTAACAGAGTCCAATTGAGTACTGACGAGATACTTTTTTTATTTGCACTAACATACAATTTTGAGGACAAGCTTTCGGGGAATGTCCCCTTCTTCAAGGTCCAGGCAGTACTACTTCACAACATTTTAGCAGAATGTTAGAAGAGATACGGCTACAATCACCTCTTGTAACAGAGTCCATAATGGACAGTTTACATGTGGTTCAAGCTAAGAATTTTAGCAGTTATCAATAAGAATGTCCAGTACATCACTGCTCCCTCCTCCCTATTTACTTGATGTATGCTATGGGATGCATGCTCTGTGATATAAATCTAAAGTATAAAACACTGAATGTAGGAGTCAAACTATGTGTTAAGGCAGTGGTCCAGATGCTTGCCTTCATTTGGCCATTGGGGCATTATTCATCCCACTAGTACAAGGCACTATTCCTACCACTGACACCAACAATAGGGCATAATTCCTGCCACTGACACCAACAATGGGCACCTTTCATCCCACTGACCCAGTGATGGGGAATTATTCCTTCCTTTGATACCAGTGGGGTACTATTTCTTACAAAAGTAGTTTCCAAACTGCAGCCTAGGGGCTGAATATGGCCGTTTGGTTTTCTTTTACCCGGCCCTTGGGGCAATATTTCCCCACTGTGAGCAACAGTGCGGCATAGTTCCTTCCACTGACACCAACAGTGTGGCACTATTCGTCCCACTGACACCAACGATGGGGAACCATTCCTCCCACTGATACCAATGATGAGGCACTATTTCTCCCATTGACACCAACGAAGGGAACCTTTTCCTCTGACTGACACCAATGATGGGGCACTATTCCTCCCACTGACACCAATGATAGAGCACTTTTCCTCCCATGTGATACCAACAATGGGGCACTATTACTCCCCCTAATGCCAATAAAGGGGCATTGTTTACTCCCACTGATGCCAGGACATTTTCTTCTTGCAGTGGCCAGTCTGCCCTCTCTAAAGTTTGAAAGACAGTAAATTGGCACATTGTTTATAAAGTTTGGAGAACCCTGCCTTACACTAATACTGATAAAGCATTGTTTACTCCCAATGATGCTAGGGCATTTTCTACTCACACTGACCACAGTCTGTCCCCCTTAGAGCCTGAAGGAAAGCAAACTGGCCCTTTGATTAGAAACTTTGGAGACTCCTGTGTTAAGAGTTAAGTTAATGTTAATTTCTTTTTAGTGCCCAACTATCAGCACTAAAAACAACTAGCACCTAGCTCCTGACACCAAAATCTAATTTAGTGAACACAGGAAACCAGCACTACTCTAATGTACACAGTTGCAACCATGGAAGTAGAATGGTCTTACCTCTGGTTATAAAATTCAGTGAAGTAAAACATGGTGCACTGCATTGAAAATGTGCTTCCAAAACTTTTGTTAAGCAGCTCCACACATAGGTAATCAATGGAGTGGAAGAAAAAAAAAGAATTAGAAATCAATATCTTCAAGAGTCAGTAGAAGGTACAGGTCAATGGATCCTGAAAGTGGCTCAGGCTTGTCTTTAAACCAGCTGAACAGGAGGGGGGAATGGTGGTTGAAAAGTATTTGCATACTTTAGCCACATGTATGCACTATACTCTTCAGCTCTGGGTGCTCTTTTATTAAGAACAACATGAAAATGATTGAGAAAACTATACTTCTGTCATTTTTATGATTGCTGACCCACAACGATGTGTATAGAACATTTTGTTTCTACATATAAAAACATTCTTGCTTCTGAGATCTGAAATAAGCACATGCCTTTTATCACCTCTGCATTATAAATGGCCTGGAGTTTCAAACACTAGTCACTTTTCCATTTTTTTAAATACTTGTCTGCAAAATTGGAATTTTCTGTAAATAGTTTATAATTTTTGTAACATGAATTAACAATGGCAAAAAAAGTATAAATTGTATGTGAGTGTACGTACAAACGTGTGCTGCTGACAGTTAGTTATCTCAAATGGGGGTGATGTTAATGTGATCAACAGTATCTTCTGAACTCAGCATTAAAGGTTCTCTAAGCACTGGGAGAGCAATATGTGACAGGTTCCTCAGTGCTGAAGTTCAGAAGAAGCAACATCAGAGAAATATGTAATTTACTGAGAAAAACGATGATTAAAAGGAAAAAAAAAAA